ACACAAATTATAGGATAAAAGATCCTATGGAAAAAAAAATTATAGGAAAAAAAACATCCTTCAATGAATTAAGTGATTAATTAAGATAGTGTTTTAGGCACATCAAAAATGACCCATCAAAATATGTTGTCGCGCACTTATCTTTAGAGTTTGGTGTTAAAATCCCATTTTCAATGAAATGCCATAAATTCAAAAGCAAAATAATAATGCATTACATGAACATGTAAGGTTGGTAGAATTTCTACCAAATTCTATTGCAAAGACAAGCCCATGTTTTCTTTTGAGCACTAAAAGCATAAACTTTTATTCATTTCATTGCCAACCCAACCCAAAAACAAGTGATTTTGCACTTTGGTTTTGAGTTAAATTCGTGTATCGTAGTAGTTCAGTCGATATAATTAGATCTATTCACGTGGTAAAAAGAATATCACGAACTAATTTCATAATAAAAGTTATCGACTTATTTAAACTTAATTAAATTTCAACATGTTACCGCTCGAGACTTGTCATGATTTATGTCGATATGATTAATTATTATGCCAAGAAGTCCAAGTAGATTGGTTATGTAGTTTGCTTGTGGTTTGTGATTTCCTAGCTAAAGTTGAAATGAGTGGCTAAACTATATTGATAACTTATCTTTAGGACAAGACCATGTATCATTAAACATGATGGAATATTTTTGTCTGATGTCTTTGTCAAAAGTGTTGTCCATCCACTTGTCATTTGGAGTTTGAACATTCTTAACTTCATCAATTAGGTGTCCTTTGAGTAGAGATGTGTAGCTTTCATCAATTCCAATTGGCTTCCTCTTTCTTCATCGAACCCTAATGAATCACTCTCGAGTTATTGTTTAATTCAAATGTACATTTGTTTGTATGATAAGAGATTATGGTTTGATTCTAGTATTTAACGTGCAATACCTCGTACCCAGAATTTAAATTTAGATTTAGAGTTTGGATTCAGTACCTGATGAGTTCGGTATTCTTTAGCATCAACTGCAACATGGTAACGTTTTCTATTTGCCTTGAAATGTTGTTAAGAGTGAAGATATTTTGCTTACGTACTGCTCCATATCTAAGATGCAAATCAAGATATAGCCTACGACATGGTCATGTTCCTTACTTATCTTGAAATGTTGCAAAGAGTATGATATCTCACATCAGTTGGAGAAGTGAACAAAACATTTCTTATAAGGGTATGTAAATTTTTTCTTAGTGGATGTGTTTTAAAACCTTGAGATAAAGTCCGTAGGGAAAACTCAAAGAAGACAATATCTACGTGCGGTGGGCTTGAATTGTTACAACTGTTCAAAAGCATCATTTTCATAGCATATAATGTTATTTGAACCGATGTTTGAATAAGATTAGAGACTAAGGTACACCTAGTATTTGTGGCCAATATTAGAAGATATTGAGAACAAGAAGTTTTGCTTATATATTTATTATGAACGCGACATCGACCTCATTACAAAATCTCAATATTGTTAATAAAATATTCTCCATATATTTTGTTCATTTTTATAACATATTTACATTAAGAGAAGCTATGGCAAATATAGACACGAAATAGTAATTTTTATTTATTTAAACGTTTTCTATAAATATTTAATATTTATAGTTTTTTTTTTCAAGAAATGTCGATCTCCATCGATATTTCTATTCATACAAAATTAGAAACCATGACATTTTATGGATATTTCTCTGCCACATTTTTAAATTTAAGCATATAAATAAAGTCGTGTATACTCATTTTCATAATATGAATGTTTTTCAACTTTATTTTATTTTCTTATTCTATACTAATAATTAATTAAATCTCGTAATTATAAAATCACTAAAAAAAATTTAATTGCTAAAAATATTTAAAAGTGAAGGTTAAATTCACTTTTAGCTGGTAGGAAATATAATTGATGTAATAGATTGTGTTTTAATAATAATAAAAAAATAATAATAATAAAAAGTACTAAAATAAATCTGTTTTTTTATAAAAAGAAAAAGAACAAAAATCAATATAAGCATGAACATGTGCATGTTTTTATATTTTAATGTAACAATTAGATCTAATTTATTATTAAAATTAAGATTCTTTCATATAATATCATATTCATTGTATTTGTTGAAATGTTGAAGTCGATTGGTTAAAATATATATCGTTTATATAAAAAAAATAATTAAAAATTTACCCATAATAAATAGTGAGAAAATAAGTATAAATTTAAAATAAATAACGATAAATTTCTTAGATTAAAATTATTCGGCCTAAAATCATATTCAAATTATTTAAATATATTTTTTTATAAAAAAAATTTAGTTAGGCTTAATTTCTAACGTAAATACCATATTCAAAATGTGATTAATTAGAGCCTAATTTTATCTTATATAACAAATTTTTAAAATTAATTATGCTCATAATAATGCAATTATTTCATTTTCTTAATTTTATTTTATATTTGATTAAATTTTATATGTGAATAAAAACATATAAATAAATAAAAACATTTTGACAAGAGAATCTTTTCACATGATGAACAGCCGATCGGGACTCCACTAATTTAATTACTTATTAATATCATTTCCAAAAAGATTGATTATTTAAAAAAAAAATTAATACAGACCAAATGAGACTTCATATTTGTTTAAAGATAAATTTTAGTATATGAGAGAAACAAATCTTATCTTTACAGAACAATGGTCTCCAACAAATTTGGAATCCGAGTAATCTTGAATTTCAATTATTGACTTAGTGATCAAAAATATATATTTTAATCAGTTAAGTTATATTACACTCTGATCTACGAGAATGGTTAAAATTATCATTTTTTTTTTAAAAAAAAAATAAAGATCCGAGACTACAATTATTACTATTTATATTTACTATTTATATTAATAAAATATATTTTCTTTTTTACTATCTCATTATAAAAATTTTAAAATTGAAAAGTGTTTAATTAGAGCAATTATAGAACTAAATTCATTTTTTTATTCTAAAATATAAATAATACATTCTTTTCAGATTTTAAATTTAGACAGGAAGAATCTTACCAAATTTATTTAATTTATGAATGCAGAGTCAATTATTTTTATCATTATTTTTTTTTTTTTTACTTTTCATTTCATATAATAATAATAATAATAAATTATATTATTGAGAATCATACTCTTCTATCACATAAATGAAGAATGCATGAATAAATTGATACTATATCTAAATTAGACGTGAAAAATTTGATAATTATTATTTATCCAATAAAATGTTTATTTATTGCTCGCACATAAATAAAACAATATCAAATGACAATCATATCCCATCCTTTTCATTAGATTAGGTGAACGATTTCGGATCATTATTCCCTTCCCACGAAAAAATTAATATATATAACTTATATAAAATTCTAATATTTATTGCTAATGTTATTTAATTAAATAAAAAAATCTTTCTTTTTCATAAAATTAATATCTTTATTTAATTAAATTATTTGGTAATAAATAAGAAAAAATTATAATGAAATTAATTAACTAAACTCTTTCTATTTAATTTTCTTTTTCTTTTTAATATTTATGGGTTATTTTAGATAAAAAAAAATTATATAACTTATATAAAATTTATCTTATTTAATTTATAAACTTCAAATTTTATTTTATTTTTTATCAAATAAAATAAATAATTTTTTTATCAAATAAAATAAATATAGATGGAGAAGATTAAAAGTTTACTATAAAAAAAATAAAAAAAAAAAAAAGATTTTGAAAAACAAGACCAACTTGTTTAACCTATTTACGGACACACAAATCAACAAAATCCACGTCATAGGTCATGATAATAATAATTTTATATTTCAAATTTTAATATAAATTTTTAAAATAAATTTTGTTTTTAATAGAAGGTAAATTTTTAAATTTTGTGTGCTTGATAAATTTTCATTTATTTAATATTTTAAAATAATTATCAATATTTAATAAGTTATATTTCTATTTTAGATCAAATTAATAAAAATATCTAAATTTCTGAACAAAAATTCAATAATACACTTAAACTTTAAAAAAATTTAAAAATATATTTATTTTAGTTTCGATAGAAATAATCAAACACTCTATTTCATTTAAGTTTCAAAATACTAAGTTTTTAAAAGATTTATTAATATCTTAAAAATTATTTAAATATTAAAAAAACACCTTTTAAACTTTTTTAAAAAATTAAAAAATACATTTACTTACTTAGATAATGAATTTAAATATAATTTAGAGTAAAATGATTAATCAAATACAAAATAAAATTATATCTTGTTTTTATAGGATGATTAAAGTATTACGATAGGTAATTAAAGGGCAATTTCTATATTTAAATATGATTTCCATATTCATATAAAATAAGAATATTGTAAAAAGAAATAATTAAATAGAAAAGTTAATGTCCATAGTTAATCATGCAATCTTGCGTACACGACACCGTATTGTCATAAATAGATACCTATTTAATGCCTTACCAAAACCATGTAAGAGCTTTTAAAATATACATTTAACTTATTTTTCCTTAATTTTTATAAATATTTAAAATTTTAAAATACATATCTACTAATTTTTCTTATATTATATTTTTAAAATTTTAAAATTTTAATTTCTTGCATATATATATTATTTCGATTTAATAAAATTTAATAAAAAGGATTGAAATTAAATTTATTTATAAACTGTAAATGAGTAATAAAAGTGAACTTGGGAGAAAACCGGAAGAGGGGTAGACTCGTAACTATACATAATCCGATGGGCGGTCTTAAAGCGTGGGCCCTGACCGTGGAGGCCCACCAGTATGGCCCATTTAGCTTCCCAATGATGCCGTTGAAAGAGCCATGACGTCAGAACGGCAAATAGCAGAATCTACCGCCACGATTCTGACACCTGCTCACCATCAAGATTTAATAACGGCCATCCGATCATTTTTTTGGTATCAGGTGTCAAAAAGGTAATTTCGTAATTCCCGTCGCTATAAAAGGGGCAAGAAAATGCAGAGATTCACGGGGTCGAAGGAGCGAACGTCCGGAGATAATCGGAGGTCCTTGAAAACCCTAGAAGGGAGATTTCAGTGGGAGAGAGGTTGCAGAGAAGGCGTCCTCTTAGGGAATGCAGAGAGATGAGAGGAGCGCTGTTGACGAGTTTCATCTCTAATGGTCGAGCAGGCAAGTGCATCCGCGGCCGGAATTGTCACCGGAAACACGTCGAAGACGGGTGATCCATTTTCCCCTTTTCTCTTCCTCTTCAAATCCCTACGCTTTAATTAAGTAAGCTAAGAAAAAACAAGGCGAGAAAGAATCGTTTGTATATATCAGTACTTTTGTGTTTTAATCTTTGAGAAAAGATCGAATCCATGGCGGAGAAGGACAGAGACGGTCATTCTGGAGTGCTCCATGGGAAGTATGAGTTAGGTCGGCTTCTAGGGCATGGAACTTTTGCTAAGGTTTACCATGCCCGGAACTTGCAGACTGGGACGAACATGGCGATGAAGGTTGTTGGGAAGGAGAAGGTCATAAAAGTAGGTATGATGGAGCAGATCAAGAGAGAGATCTCTGTGATGAAGATGGTGAAGCATCCGAATATTGTCGAGCTTCATGAGGTTATGGCGAGCAAATCGAAGATCTATTTCGCTATGGAGCTTGTTCGAGGCGGGGAACTGTTCTCCAAAATTGCTAGAGGTCGATTGAGAGAGGATGTGGCTAGAGTTTACTTTCAGCAGCTGATTTCTGCGATCGATTTCTGCCACAGTCGGGGGGTTTACCATCGGGACCTCAAACCGGAGAATCTTCTTCTCGACGACGACGGAAACCTTAAGGTAACTGATTTTGGACTCAGCGCATTTTCAGAGCACTTGAAACAGGATGGATTGTTGCACACAACTTGTGGTACGCCAGCGTACGTTGCGCCGGAGGTTATCGGGAAGAACGGATACAACGGCGCCAAAGCCGATCTGTGGTCATGTGGAGTCATCCTTTACGTTCTTCTGGCAGGATTTCTCCCATTTCAGGACGACAATATTATGGCCATGTACAGGAAGATTTACAAGGGAGACTTCAAATGCCCGCCGTGGTTCTCATCGGATGCCCGTCGACTAATCACCAAACTCCTCGATCCAAATCCGAATACCAGAATTACAACTTCGAAGATCATGGAGTCGTCCTGGTTCAGGAAATCTGTACCAAGAACTGTGACGACGAAAGAGGAGCAGGAATTCGACGAGAGCAACGAGAAACTAAAGCAATCTGAGACTCTGAATGCATTCCACATAATTTCGTTATCAGAAGGGTTCGATTTGTCGCCGTTGTTCGAGGAGAAGAAGAGGGAAGAAAAAGAGGAGCTGAGATTTGCGACGACGAGGCCGGCAAGCAGTGTGATATCGAAGCTGGAGGAGGTTGCGAAAGCGGGGAAATTCAACGTCAAAAAGAGCGAATCGAGAGTCAGACTACAGGGCCAGGAGTGCGGAAGAAAAGGGAAACTGGCGGTGGCTGCGGAGATCTTCGCCTTGACGCCGTCGTTTCTGGTGGTGGAGGTGAAGAAGGATCATGGCGACACTCTCGAATACAACCAATTCTGCAGCAAAGAGCTCCGGCCGGCACTCAAAGACATTGTCTGGACATCACCGACGGAGAACTCCATGCCGGCTTGAGATTCAGGAAGAATTGAGATTATTCTTCGTAGTAGTTCTTTCTTTCTAGATTTAACGTGGTTGTTAGTTGTTTGATTTAGTTCGGAATTTGAGTTAAAAAGAAAAAAAAAAAGAAAAAAGTGTCAGTGATGATCAGATCATGTGTTATGTGCTGCATATAATTGTTGTAATCCTTCACCAAAGTTGTCCCTAATTTTGGGCCCTTTTTCCCCTTCCAAGCAGAAGAAATGAACGAAACAATCAGTGCCTCTGCTTTTTACGAAGCATAACAAGACAATGTCCTCGTCACTCTCTTTCAAAGGAAATGTTTGGATTCCTTCCCTTTTTCAGTTATTTTGCACTCAACTTCTCTAGGTAAGTTTCAATTAAGCTCATAAATTTGGAAAAGTTCCACTTTTAATATTCTTTTAATAATAAAAAAACCATTTTGAAGATTTTAATGTTAAAATAAAATGAAAATTGATTCTTATTTTTATCAATTTTAAAGTTTATGGGTATTTAAGAAATATTTTGTATAATTTAACTTAATTTATAAATAAACCATTCAAACCTTTTGACTATTTTCAGATTAAGAATTTTAAATTTTAAATTTTCCACATCAATCTACTTTATTTTATCCAGAAATTAATCTTATCCAATTATTTACTTTTTAACTATTTTCAGAAATACATTTTCCCTACCAAATATTTCCTATTTCGTAAAAGACACTTTTTTACTCAATAATCCCTTTTTTTCCTTCAAAATATTCACTTTAATGAGTAAAAAAATAATTATTCCCAATCTCATTTGGGTGAAAGTCGCTTTTTGTAGATCCAATAATTTTGATCGAAAAGTATATATAACAATATTTCTAAGAGAGAGAGAGTATAACCCAACATTAAAGTAAGATAAAATAATTATAATCATAACATTTTTTTTTTTTTTTTTTTACTAAAAAATTATTTTAAAATCACTCCCAAACATTTACTAATATTTATAAATTTATTAAATTCATGAGTTGTAAAGGTATTTGATTTCTGCTCCAATCCCCTCCTAAGCTTTAGCATGTGGGCTCAATTCATCATCTCCATTCCTTCACACCAATTACTTCAATCCCTCTGAAAATGAAATTTCATACCAAACTTTTAATTTCAACTCCCACCGTATAACCTCTCTCTCTCTCTCTCTCTCTCTCTCTCTCTCTCTCTCTCTCTCTCTCTCTCTCTGTATATATATATATATATATATATATATCAAGGGATATGGTTTGGGTCTAGAGAGGGTTCACATGGGGCGTTTGGCCTTTTCCTCTTGATTGTCTGCATTTTATGAAAGAATCAACACAACATTTATTATTATTGTTGTTGTTATGGTTCAGCCACACAAAGGATTCACCCAATGGCCCTTTTGAGGGAATTTGAGGCTGCACATCTCTTCTTCTCTCTTGGAATTGGAATCCCAACTCACTTTATCAGCCACTCCATCCTCCTCCATTGGATTTATATTTACCCATTTCTCTAACTTTTCTAAGGACCCACCACTAATGTCATCTCATATCCTCTTCTTCTCTCTCCAAATGGAGTTTGTCCTTTTCTTTCTTCTCCAGAATCAAAACAAGAAGGATGCTTATTCGAAAAGATTCTAATATTTGACCTTTCGATTGAAAATATGTACCTTAACCGGTTGAGTTCGGTTCAAATTGGCATGAACATGAACGTAGACTTCATTTAGCACTCTCTCGTAGTCTCCTGCTTGCATTACCATAAACTCAATTAGAGGAAAAAGGAATTTATGATTGCTAGATGTATTAACTTGATGAAGAAGACTATGGCGCAGTTATATGGGGAAGGTGGTTTGAATAACAAAAGAATCATACAACTAAACAAACAAACATGAAATCAATCATGATAAGCTTACTTTATTGTCCACCTACCAATAAGGCAAAAGCAGCCAGTGGAGCCATGCTGCTTTTTGGAGTTTCTGCTTCATAAAATGAATTCTGTGTAGTGCATTCAGGTAGAAAGAGAGAGACAATGAGGTAATAAAAACCAAAGAACATCAGGCATTGATTACTGGAATTTGGTGAGTGTCTCTGTTTGGTGGCTACGAAACCTCCTAACAAGTGGAGAATAATCTGAACGTGTGTGTATGCACAAATATAATGTACACTTCTTACTTGAATTTGACAGGGTATCAGAAACTTGTTGAATGCTTGTTCAATTGCAATAACCCAAGAGTAATCTTTCCCTGCAAATTTTAAACTGAACAGGCTATCCAATCAAATCAGCCCGGGAAACCCAGCTGCTACCGATCGGGGCAGGCAAAAACATTGACCCGCGAACCTGCCCAAAAAGTGGGGCGAAGTTTCTTTTTTTTTTTTTTACCCCTTTTTTAAATAGAATTTTGATGTACCAGAACAGTATATCTAAAAGTCTCGAGGTAAGTCAATGTGCTAAGTGGTAGGCGTCGGTATCTATTCTTTCCCTTGAAGTTGGAGGTTAACCTCTACACCTCAGTGTTTGTTATTACATAAAAGAACAATAGGAACGTTGATCACTAAGAACAGTTTCTCCTAATGGTGGGTTTACCACTAGAGTAGAGTGTCAATAATCTAAGCATGGTTCCAAAAAAGAATTTCCCAATGAACCTTTTTCTTAAGGCATGTGGTTTGATCAGTGGCAAACTAATTGAAATGGGAAAGGAATGGCAAAACTTACTTCCCCTTAATATGCACTCCAAACAGTTTGAAGCCTGAGACTTCAAGATCATCATTTAGTTCATCGTCGGCATGCTTAGGCAACACCGATCCATTAACTTCTTCATGACTCAAATCTAGCTGCATTTCGCTGCTTGTGATTTCATTCTCAGTCAAGCTACCATGGTTGTCACGGTTTTTAACATCCACCACACAGAATGTAGTGTTAGCATCGCTTGCCTTTGCTGCTTCACACAAGTAGAAAGTTATTGTGTCATTAGCTTTCAGTTGTTTTTCTTTCACAAACCGATTCCAACCTCGCGTAAAAACGTAGCTCTGGCTGCTTTTCCAGTAACAGTATCGAAATTTCCATTGTCTCATCATTTTGTCAAATAATACTAGCTGCACATCACAATCATCATCAACACGTTTCACGTTATCTATCGTGCTAGCTGGTATGTGAGGGAAGTATTTAACAGCGTATTTCTTTGGGATGACCAATCTGTTTAACTTACCAACATCGCTCGGTGTTAGCTCCTTTTGAAAAAGTTGCTTAATAGATGTCCGTCCATTGTCATGTAGCTTTTCTGCAGAGGGACTGGCTGTTTGTGCGCTTTCCAAACAATCCCTCAAATACTCAGCAAATTTAGTTCTGTAAGAACTGTCTTTTAACATACTAAGCAAAGCTGCTGTAGTGTAAAGATTCTGAAAGTTAGGCTCTTCAATAGTGAATTTGGTCCAAGGAAAGTTTCTATGACAATCTCCACTCCTGATTCTGATAGCTGCACTATCATAAGCCATGGCTGCCTCGTCTTCCGACTTGAATGTGCCGAGCCAAATACGATGGTGATTAGCATAAATTTGAGTACCCCAGTGGCCATTCTGCTGAAGCACAACACCTTTGAATTTTGAGGTTAAACTCCTTCCTTGTCTACTACATCCACTGGCAGGGAATGGGCAAGTGATGCAATCTTCCCCAATTGCATTCGTCTTGGCTTTTGAAATCATACTTGACAACTCCTGTTTCATGGTGGTTCTGAGAAAAGATCAACCAACAAGACGAAGGATCAGATTTTGTGAATATGTACTCTTTTTCTCCGCTAGTTGCAGATTAAACAATGTCCTTATAATTCAGAATAACGTCATTCAAGGTGTTCATCAAAGTATAAGCCCCCACCAATTGATCAAACTAATTGATTAGTTACTACATACCAGAGAAGATCAGATACCAGATCTCTCAATACCCCGTGAAGTATAAGATTTTTCTTCATAAATACCATACATATAACCATTAGGAACAAATAAACACATCTTATTAAAGTATCCAGCCTCCACGATTTATCTACCATACCATCATAAGAAAGTGCAGTGGTTTTCCAATTTGTATAGTGTTGAGCGTGAGAAAAGTTTGCTTATCTATCAATATAAGACTTGAGATAACTTTTGAGAGTAGTTCTAGAGTTAAACAAAGTTGCAACTTGAATTGGGTTCATCATCAAACAAGGATCATCGGGATAAGCAAAGTTGCAACCCAATTGTTGGATTACGAAGTATAAAATAAAAGATATATTAACCCAACCAACCTATGAACACATACTCGTGTTTTAATAATTTACAAAATCACATGAAAAGTTAGTAACATACCCAGGAGTTCTTTTGGCCGGTAATTCTTTTCCTCGAGTATCTAAGCTATTCAAGTTTCAAACAAGACATGAGCAGACAAGGATTTCTTGTTTCCTCTTTACTCAGCAAGCAAGAAGAGTATAAAATGAGAACCAGAATCCAAAACAGTGTTTTCACGAAGTTTCTCCAATACCCTTGAATAGTTTTAAATCCAACACACAAACTCCGTATGAGTAATATATCTTCACAAAAGAAATTTAGTATGGTTGTAGAGACAATAAATAATGCTACACAATGTATAGGTGCCTTTGGCATGACTATGTTTCAAGTAAATTGTAAGTGTTTATCTAATTTTTCATAGTGCTTAGTACAAATGTGTAATAATGTATTGAATGTACTTTAGAAACTTCAATTTTTTTAAAAAAAAAAAATTAAAACGAAAGAATTTATTAGGTCATTATAGAAAAAAGGGGTTTTGTTTGAACTCTCAAAAGTCATCATAAATTCACTACATTTCACATCAGTCTTCTATAGAGCGACAGTTAAAAGGGGAGTTTTATGATGACAAGAAAACAAGAGATAATGAAATCTTGAAACAGAAAAAAACAGGAGTAAAACCTCATTATGCAGGGAGCAATGCAACTACAAGCGAAATAAAATTGATGAGCTTCACAAGTAGCATACCAAAAGACTATTAGTAAACGAATGGAAAACGATAAAGTTTATCATCCTGGGTTTTAAGGTGGCTGAGGAGTAAAACCAGCTATCTTATCTTCAGTTTGTTAACGACACCCTTCTTTTCTGTTTGGTCAGAAAAGTTTCTTTAGCAATCCTAACATTTTTTAGCCTTCTTTAAAGCTCTTTCACATTTCAAGATTACCAGGGGTGAAGTTCCATCATAGGCCTAAATCATGACCATGCAAAGTTGAGTTTATGGGCTTCCCACGGTGAGTTGTGGAGTGAATCAACTTCCATATTTTAATCTAGAACTTCTCTTCGGTCCTAATGAGAGGTCAGTCTTTCTCGAATCCTATTATGGAAGAGGTTTACAAACGTCAAGATACATGGAAAAGAGCCTTCTTCTCCAAGGGGGAGACTTAGTCTTATCCAACCAATCTTAAATGGATTTCTTAATTCCCCTTTTTGAGATACTAGCAATTTTTTTGGCAAGCTTGTTTCATTGCCCTATTGCGCGGAATTTGACTGGAGGAGGAATAGCATAATTTTTAAGGGGGTTTAGAGAACATGGGTGAAGGTTTGGAAGAGTGCTAGGTTTAAAGCATCACTAGGAGCTTGGTTTGATTCTCTTGTATTGAAGTCTATTTTAGTAGTTAGTGTTTAACTCCCTTTTTTGTGCGCTTATATTTTTGCATGTTCTTGTATGTTCTTTCATTTTTATCAACAAAAACTCAGTTTCTGGTCTACAAAAACACTAACTACAAAAATAAACCAAAATCCATAAGAATGAGACTAGCAAGTAATTATGAAAAGACCCAATTAAAAAACACGTACAACGTAAAGTTAAATCTAACAAATTCCTAAAACTTATTCCCAAATCTCTCAGACCCACTAAATATCCAGTTGTGCCTCTCATTCTAATACCCTAAAGAATGGAAATAATAAAATATAAAAAATCTAGCACAAAACTCTTCCTTTATTGTGAAAATTAGGATTCAGAAGCACATCTTCAATCATTGAGAAGCAACCTCTATGATGAACCAAAACAAGTGAAGTAGTTTCAGAAGAATCTAATAGTCATCCTTTCTTATTCTTTTGAACAAATTCACTTCTTAAATATGTAGTTTGGCGGTGTTTGTTTTACTTGGCTACTTTTGTCTCGACTATCCTTTTTTGATACTGTTGTTGCATACTCTTCTTTTTTTATGGTCAGTCAATTTCAAAAGTAAAAATTATGCCAAAAAAAACACATACCTAGGATAATAATGAAAATTGAAGGGGAAAAAACGAAGTCAAATCTCACAAACAAGACTAGTTGCATCCAGCTTTCTAGGACTACAACCAGGAATGCAAAAGTTTTTTTGTCGACGGTTTGGCCTCATTTGATAACCATTTAGTCTTTAAAAATTTAGTCTATAAACATTATTTCTACTAATGAGTTTCTTTGTTTTGTTATCTAATTTCTACAAAAGTTTTTGTCAATGGTTTGGGATTTTGCTAAGAACTTAAATTTTTTTTTTAAGAAATGTGAAAACCATAGTAAGAAATTGTGAATAAGATCTGAAATTAATACCTAAGTTCTTTTTTCTATCAGTTCTTAGGCTAGCTTGCACACACCTCAACTATTCATAAAGCACAATTGTTTAACAAACATTTGATTGTCAAGAAAACTTCTTAGATATTAAATCTTAGGGCTGCTAGCCACCATGACAGGAAAATATTCCTACTATACCCTTTATTATTTATCAACTTTTATTGATCACTGGCCAACCTATGGTGGTTGAGATTAATACCTAAGTTGACACAATAAGTTTAATTTGTGTCCCCCAAACTTACTTTGCTAATCATTACGGAATTACTAGTTATAGTAAATGGTCAGGTGAAGCCTTCAAGGATTTAAAGTCAAGGTAGACAATAATGAAGGTGGTAAGTAGTATTTCTTTCACAGAGAATCTGGTTGGCATGGATTGACTTGAAGAGAAGATGCAAGGAAAAAGCCAGGGACAAACAATGAACAAAGAACATGCCATTTCACAAGAATTACTCATCTCTCCAGGTCAATAAAAAGTACAATAAATAAACAATTCTAATCATCAACATCACAGTATGAACTAATCTAATAAAACAAAGAAATTTCACCGTTCCCATCAGTAATGCAAAATATTTGCTGTGTGCTTACTATCACAATCAATAAGCAATATCAAGAGCAAGAGCAGTGTTCTAAAATGCGAGGAAACAATATGATGTCTAAAGGCATAAGACGTGTATATATTGGTCGTGGACCATGGGCCCATGTGGTGCATTTAATTGGAGTGTTGCATGTTTTTGAACTTAATTCGGTGGTGGGTCATCACCATAGGCCAATGTAGATATCGAATGAAATATAAAAATGCATAGACAACTGAAAAGGCATAGAAGTTCAATCAGTTGACTGACAAAAAAACAGAAAAAAGTGGAAGTTTAATGTACACTCCGTTGTGTTATTTTAATATAGAGCTGCTCTTTGACGGCAACACAGCAAGGAGGTGATTTTTGTGAGTTTTATGGGTAAAGTGAACGAAAATGAGGATGAAACTATTAGATAAGATGATGACTCTATGGACAATCCTATTAGTGATAGTTCTAGTGATATAATGGATGAGCTTTAGATTATTATTAATAAAATCTCAGTGAACTATTGAGTTTTTTTTTCTTTATTATTATTAATTATTATGTTTGTACTTTTAAGGAATAATGTAATGTTAAGAATGAATAAGGTTTTATGTTTTTTAATTTAAAAGGAGCCTTACACCTCACACCGCGTCAAGGCTTACGCCTTGCCTTTTCATGAGAAGATGCCACGAGGCTGCCTAAAGTCTTTTAAATCATATATCAAGAGGTCAAGCGTTCAAACACCTAAACGTACTTAGCTTTCTGTGGACAATGTACCAATGCATAAAAATACTTTCATTGTTGTTATCGACCAAAATTAAAAAACTTCAAATATACGCGATTATTAGTTCTACCAATTAAATCATGATGTCAAAATATACTCGATGAGTACCAAAAAAAAAACAAAACAAAAATATTTTGTTAGTCAAACTTGAGCAATAGACCATCGTACCAAAGCAAGCTCACGAATAAGTACAATCATGTTGGTGTGGAACACCTAAGCACTTCTTGAATGCACAGAAAAGAATTAAGGCTGCACTAGTTGAATCAAATGACGTCAAAGACATAATAAGTACAATGTTTCCAATATTTGTGGAAAATTACTTGTATTAAAAGTTAGACACGACAATTGCTATCTCCAAGTGGGAAAATGATAACACAATCATGCAAAAAGGTTACAAACAAGAGTAGCACTCTAAAGTCCAAAAGTTTCAGTACAACGGAAGTAAATGCTCTCAACACATCACTCTTATCCTTACAGAAAAAAATTCTGAATAACAAGAGAAATAAATGCCTGCCATATTCATCAAAAAGTACTGAGCAAGAAAAATCCTTAAAAAAAGAGTTGATGAAGTTTCCTTACTGTTTAAAACTAACCATAGAGCTACAAACTTCAAAAGCTTGGATTATATTTCTGGTGTCATTTCATGTGCAACCTCAAGAGGTTAAATTTTATATTAACAAACACTCTCAGGATCAGATCTTTTTAACTCTAGTGGCAAGCATCTCTACCTTGACAGCTTTCAGTCATGTACTGATAAAAAGAATGTGACGATGAACAGTTCAAAACTTTATATTTCGTCACATTTACTATTATTAACACGTTTACATCTAAAGTTTGCCTTATTTTTAGAATTAAAAAATTCGGTGAATTACTAAGAAATAGTCAAAAGGATGCAAGGCAATGAGAATTTCTTTCATTCAGAGACGAGTTAGAACAAAAATAAAAAAACTTCACATTTTAAACTCGTTTGTCCACATATAATGAATTAGTAGGCTGTCGCCTATTTGCATAAATTTCATCTCTACATAAGTTAACACTAGTACCTTGCACTTCCATCGAGTAGAGGTTTAACAAAGTTGATTATGATGATTATCAAATCTTCACATGGGAAACTTTACAATACTTTAAAGATGAAAAGGGCGGCCATGGCACCCTTAAATCTAAAGAAAAAAAAACATTTGTAATCTCCTAATTTGCTAAACCACATTAGTATTGTCAACTAAAGAACTTCTTTCTTCACTGTTGGCTTTACTTAGAAAGACAAGCTTCACAAGCGGGAAAACTCTGCGTGGCTATTAATTTTCTTAAACCACTCAGAAACCAACTGATTTGGGAACTTCAGCATTTACATGTCAAAAAGAAACCCCAAAGCAAATGCCATAAAATTTCCCAAATCTAAAAACGAGAAGTACCATAATAAACTTTAGAAGCATCAAACAAAGAGCCAATTACTTTCACATGAACTAAAATAGCATCAAAGCAACATCCACTGGTAAAATTAACCCATATATAAGCCCATGTTTAAGAAAAATAATATGTGGCTTCAATGAACAAGTTAAGAATAAGAATAACTGGGAAAGGAGAATCAAGTAACAAAACAAACAAAAATCACAAGAATGCAATTTTATTAAATCATATGAACTAAAACAAGAGGAAGAAGAGAAAAAACAGAAAGGTTCTTACCTCTTACCCGGGCAGTGGGGGTGGTGGTGATGGTTAATCTGAGGATAAGAGAAAAATAAGCAGGCTGTTGCCTCCAAACGTCAAACAAGTGCTGAGAAAAAGCAATATTCAAGCCCTAATTAGCTACCACTTAAATAAATAACCAGAGAGAAGAAGATGGTGACGATTTTGGAAAAGAGGACAGAAGAACAAAAATCCAGGAATATCTTACTATCGAATAAATCAGAGACCTGAATGAGGAAATTTTCCGGTTTGGAAGCTCCATATCTCGGACTCGAAAACATCAGCCCCTTCAGGCATCCAAAACGAGGGACTGTTGCCATATTCAGCACTCAAGTCGATTCAGTCTCACACCCTTCTCCAAGTAACAGCCCACAACGGAAAGAAATTTTTCGTTTTAGGAAAGTAAATACCAAAACAAAATCTGCAGAACTCTTCGTCAACAAAAAATAATGCTTACAAAAATATATCCCATATTCCAATATTCTCAGGAACAAAAGAAATATTTGGTCAAATATGGAATAACCCAAATCTCAGGAAACCAAAATAAATAAAAATAAACAAAGAGTGTGGGCGATACCAAGAAAACCCCAAAACATGACCGAGAGTTTTGGTTTAGCTGGGTACAGTACTCGGATTTTTCCACCAAACAACTATGATATTCAAAGGATTTTCCGTTAAATATGAATAGTAATCGGTTTGTACCTCAAAAATTCAATATTTATATATATATATATATATATATATATATATATATATATATATATATATATATATATAAGCAGGAGAGGGCCATCAAAAGTCGCGCTACCAAGTATCCATGGAAATCAATGTCAACAAAAGAAAAGAAAAGAAAAGGGTTTCCATGAAGAATTGCAAGAACAATAATATTGCAATGGATGAAAACAACCTGACAAATTAAGAGTGTGGATGCGAAATTGTAGACTACAAAGGCGCCGCTTGAAACTTCGAAGAGGCCGCTTCAACTCCGCCAGTGTCATTGTTCCATTAGTCCATCAGAGGAGGAAAAAACAGGAGAGGAGAAGAGAGAGAAGAAGAGAGCAGAAGGGAAAATAATGGGGAAGCGAAGCTGACGGAAAGAGAAGTGAGCACGCACCCGCAAAGGTATGCCCTTCATACATTTGGCTGCAGCGTGTGCTCACTCTCTTCTGTCACTCTCCTGCCCTTTTGCTCTCTCTCTCCCTCCATCTCCTTCCATTTTCATCATTCATTCATTCCTTCACCCAACAATTTCCCTTAACTCGTCAGATCTATGACCTCAAAACCCACCCATATATGGAATCCACAAACCCACCAAAGAAACAACCATTTTATCCCTCCCCATGAAATTCTTTCCTTTTTCAGACATTTCATCGAACACCTTCTATGCATCCTTCCATATCCAAGTAAAAGAACAAATTCTTTCCATTCTGAACGGCAGCAGAAACCAACAATGAGAAAGCGAAATAGGGCTTTGCTATTACAATCCATAGATATATACCCATTTCACACGCCATCAAAAGTAAAACCAATTCTGACATCTTAACAACTTTTCTTTCTCTGTTCTGAAATACGCGTCTGGGATAGCCACCAATGAGAGAAGCCCTCCACCACCACCGTCGGTGAAGATAGAGAGAGAAAGGAAGAACGGCGCTAGGGACAGTATAATGAAAAATGTACAGAGAGCAAAATTTACGAGCGAAAGGAGAAGGAAAGGACGAAAGGAAGAGGACGCGACAGTCAATCGAGTGGGCTTGTGGGACCGTCTTTCTCAGCCTGGGTTTGGCTGTGATTAACGTGTATGTGGTCCACGTGGACCACTCAGGGCCCGCCAATTCACTTCATGCTCTAAACTTATTGCTTTCCCGCTTTTATCCCACTTTTTAGTGGATAAATTTCATTTATTTGTTTCTTAATTTTGCTCAAATAAACCACTTAGTTTTTAAACTTCATGTATTATTAAATTCTTTTTTTTATTTGGTAAATTAATTTTATTACTGAATATTGGCTTTCTAACCTTTTTTTTCCTCGACCTAACATATAATTATTTCGAGCAAATTACGCTCAAGCTAACAAAAATAATATTGGTATATGTGGTAACACCAACTGTGTCCTCGAACCACATCCTACTCGAAGATGTGCCGTTATGATACCATTTGTAAGACCGATTTGGCTTCTGAAAGTCAATGTGCCCATTTAACTTTTATGTTCTTGTGATTGAGTCATAGAAAATGAACGTGCATTATTTTGTCGTAATTTTATCCTCAAAATTTTCTCATTTATAAAAATATGAGCCTAATTCATCAAAGTTTTTTTTTTTTTTTTTAATTTCACGTGGGATTGAACGATGGAACCAAATTATTTGAGGTAGGTACGTTGATTCTGAATTAACCATGATCCATTGAGAATAATAATTTTGACTATGGGACACAATGACATTTAAATTCGAAAAGACAAGACCATGTCTAATCCTATGTCTCCCCAACTTAGCTTTCTTTGCCACCAAGTCACCATCATTAGTCATTCCTAAATAAGTTACTCTTTTTCTAATCAGTGATTAATTACAAAATTCCCTCGTACTTTTCTATTTAAACTTAATTTGAAAAAAAAAAAAAAAACATTAATCCAACTTTCAATTTTTAATTACTTGTCTAATAAATTTCTTTTTTTTTTATAATTTTACTACCGTTATGTCTTATAAATCTAACTTTTTTTAATATATATATTTTATTGAGAATGGTCGGGAGATAAGTCCCATATAAAGGAATATATGGTTCTGATTCTTTCATTCATTTCTTCGACGGTCAAGTTTAGTAGCAAGATTGGTTGACTAGTTATCCCGTCTTGAAGTGGACTCAAAAGATCAATCTATCGGATTCTGTTGAGATTCTAGGACAACCATCCCAAAATCTTGAAAAAGCGGGCTATGTACCAGATCACATGGATTGGAATATCAATCTCAATCCCATCAATCGAATCGCGTTTTCGAGAACTGAGTTGTGCTTACTTATTACGATTACGCAAGCTCACCTAAAGCCCTGAATAAGAAAGATCAATATTGGCTAACTTAAGTAATGATCATGGGTTATAACTATACATTTCCATTGGTATGAGATATTTTAGGAAGCTCAAAGCAAAACCATGAGAGCTTATACTTATACTGGACAATATCATACCATCATAAAGAGTCGTGATTCCTAACATATTTAATCTCTTAATTGCTAGAACTATAAATATAAAAATATTTAATATATGCATGAAAATTTTAGGAAATATTTAAATGCGGTATATTTTTCCCGTAATTGTTTTTATATTATTTTTCCTGAAGGATTTAAATAATAATATTCATGGACTCCAATTTGGTTGGGCCCAAATCTGAGGCCCGAAGCTACTGATTGAAATTGGTTGGAACGACGAAAAACCCCGCCAATTGCGAAGGAACCCAAACAACGGAGGGCTCAGATGAAGTTCATAGCGACGTTCTAGCGGAATCTAGACAAGCTTGCTACAAGGTTCTCTCTTTCAATCACTTATTCTATAAGGTTTCTGTTTGATAATAATGTTCGAGTGTTAATATCGCAATTTGATGCGTCTGAACAAGGCTCGCGATACTTTTTATGCTTGTGTGGAGAAGGAATCGGACAAAAAATCCACTGAAATAGCTTCTGTTGGTCTAATTTACCCTGCCGAGTGTAAAGTTTTGAGGGCCGAATTTGTCAAGCTTTGCAGGTTTCTTGGGTAAATGTCATTGTCTGATCACTTGAGATTTCAATAAGGCGCTGGTTCTTAGAATTTATGGTCTAGTAGGTTTTGATTTGGTAGGTGAAGCATTTTGATATGAAGTTTTGTCAGAACAGTAGGGTTCAAAGACTCCTAGATGACAAAGATTCAAGCAGAGGTCCCTTGATGCTCCCGCAACCTAATACTTTTAAGCTTACTGATTAAACTAAACATCATCCCCCGGTGGAACAAATTTGAGCGGTCAGAGTCTCATCACTATCGTTATTTTGTGCTTCTTTTTTTATTCTGCATATGGATGATTGTGGCAATAGTTTTAGTAATGATATCAATCTTCTTTCCAACTTACAAAGGCCTATTCCTTCCCTTTTATATGCATATAATTTTAAGGTACCGTAGTTCTAACTTCTAATATGTGAGATCCTACATTGGTTGGAGAAGAGCGTGAAACACTTTTTTTATAAGGATGTAGAAACCTCTCCCTAAAAGACGTGTTTTAAAAACCTTGAAGGAAAGCCTAAAGAGGGCAGAATCTGCTAACGGTGGGCTTGGGCTATTACAGAAACCTTCTTTATAAGAGTGTGAAAAATCTTTTTCTAGAAGATGCGTTTTAAAAACTTTGAGGGGAAGCTCAAAAGAGAAAGCCCATAGAGGAGAATATCTGTTAGCAGTGAGCTTGGTGTTGTTACACAACGAGCACGACCATGATGTACCAACTAAACTTACAAGGCACTAAAAACTTGTGGGTCTGTTATCTAATTAAAGTTTGCTTACTCTCACTGCTCCTTATATGTCGGTCACGGTCTTGGTAGTTGATTCACACTATTTGGATGCTTCAATAGTTTGTAGAAACATTGCTTCGTTTGTCTTCCATATTGAATTCTTGACTGTATAGCTTCTATAGTATGGGAAGGTTAGCTCATAACGAATGTTCTTGCTTGGCTCATCATTTGAGAATTGCTTCAGTTGCCTGTATAGAAATGACCTTTCAATAACAATTTGAATATGGAGAAATGTGAAGTGCATGAGGAATATGCATAAGGTCAATTTAGAAGGAAGTTGGTTTTAGCCTTTTGGAAAATATATTCAACTCAATTAAGTGATATCTCATAGACTTGGAATCCTGAGCATGGATCATCCATCCTCATGGACACATTAGCTGGTTTTGCTTTTAGATGATTCACATTTGACATGCTGACTCTAGAAGCCTTTTTGGCCATAAATCGCTCCTTAAGACCATTCGAAAAGTTCTCCAATCCTCGATCAAAGAGGAATCCATGCTTGTTTCCTCACCATTTCTTTACTAAGATTTTCACTTTTCTTAAAAGAAACATTTAAAAATTTAACCATATTCGGAAAACAAAAATAAATTTTCTGAAACTAAAAAAAAAAATCAAATGTTTATAAAAGAAACATAAATTATTCTATTCCTCTCACTCTCACTGCTGTGTTTGTGTGAAACTGGTGAAGAAATCCAAAATCATTTCATAATTGCTTGCCTCCTATGGCCAAGGCCAAGCAATTTTTTCCCTGAAAATTTCATTCTATAAACTGATTGTCATACCAAAAAAGGGGGTCGTAAGTACTGAAAGTCTATATTTGTTCTTCAGTAACCTTGTGAGAAATACAGCATCTGAATTTTGATTTGATGAGGGCAGAATGTTATCTTGCTACAATTTTCAAAATACTCCATTGCGTAAGATATTGCTTATTATCAATGCAGTGTTCCCCAGAATGCTCCTTAGTGTACTGATTGGCAGTGTTGGGAGTAAGACTGCTGATTGAAATAGGTTTTTCGGATGTGGTAAGAGCCCTTGTTAAGTAACGCCGTTTGATTAAGGAGTTTCACTCTTTTATCCTTGTGGAAAAATTAGGATAATATTTCATGATAAAATGCATTTAGGATTAGAATTTTTCCTTTGGAAAGGAGTTCAAGGAAGTGATGAGATGTACTTTAGATGCCATAATATGATTGATATCATTTAATAGGCTAGTTGAAAACTCGACGCCTTTGAGAAATTCTAGGATTATTTACATTCAATGTCCTGATCAGATTTTTAACCTATGAATCTCGAACAGATCCATCAAGTTGACTAACAAATATATCCATAATATCGATGGACATTCTCAATATAGATATACAAGGATTGATCTTTCATTTTTCTGCTTCATAATCTACTGCTTCATTGACCTTTTGTGGCTATGGGCTGGTCTTTCATTTTGAAAGAATTTAGTCTTTCAATCTGCCTTCCCAGACAGGTTGCTGGAAGTTTTGTTGGGGACAAATTTTAGGGGCAAGGCAAAGATTCTTTGGTTCGAGCTTTCCGAAATATTGTAAAGAAATAGACTCTTTTCGTCCCGGCCAGCTGTTCTCTGAAGTGATCCTTTGGGCAATTTGGAAAGAGTTCCTTAGAGAGTCATTGAGAATGGTTCAAGTTTGGAAGATTCTTTTGTTTAGACTATACACAACACTTGGATTCTTGATGGAGTTCATGTCACAAAGAATTTTGGTGTACCTACAGACTTTCCTATGGTTATTAGAAATTAGAATGCCCCGTTTTATGTTAATCTCTCTTCCGTTATGTCTATATAATATATATCTATATCTCATTGTATCTCTGTATATGTTGGGTTATTGACAATATCAGAGAGAAACTTTCTCCATTTCTGAAATTCGTCTTTTGATTAGCATGAAACTCCATTGCAGACTATCATAGATGGCAGAGGATTATAAAATTCTAGAATATGATGGGAAAAAAGTTAGTTCCATCTGACCTACTAAAAGAAAATTATCTTTTCCATTTTCCTCTTTCAACTCAACGAGGGTTCTCATTCCAACTCGACCATCGAACTCGAATTTCCTAGCCAGTAATTCCAACCCAAAGGTCTCACCTATGACAATACCACCCAGAGCTCTCGACTGATTAAAACATGTATGATATAAGATCTCACGTCTGTTGATAGGAAAACAAAACATTTTTTTATAACGGCGTGAAAACCTCTCTCTAGCATACACGTTTTAAAAACTGAGGAGAAACCCGAAAAGTAAAGTCCAAATAAGACAATATTTGCTAGCGGTGGACTTGAGTGGTTACATATTAGGTTAAACTACAAGTTGGGTCCTCAAACATTTAGAATTGTGTTTATTTGATATCTGCCCTTTAAAAAGTGTTTAATAGGTCTCTAAAATCTCAAATATATCAGATCATAGGAATAAACATTAACTTTTAAACTAACTTTGAATCCATCAAATTTCGATTTTTCCATGGACACGCATCTATGAAGACTTCTTTTCATCAATCATGTGGAAATAATACTTAAAAAAAATAGTAGAAATAATGAATGAAACGATGAAAATGAGTCTGAAATTAACCCCACCATTGAATAAAATTTCTTCCGTATTTGACTTTAAGAGTAGTGGACTACATGTCGGTCGTCGTGGGCCCATTAGTCGCTTCCCACTCCTTTTCAAGGGTGTTCAATAAATACGACCAAACATTAAAAATAAAATAAAATAAAATAAAAACAAAGGAGAAATCAAAGTCAAAATTGAAGATATTATTTGTCAATTCATCCAACCCTAATGTCTTATTGGCCCTTTCTTCACTTCATGCTTTGTTTGAGATAAACATTGGATATTCTCATTTATTTCTTCTAGAAAGAGTCCGACAGCAAACTACTCCATTTCAATTCCCCATATTTTTTCTGCTAATTTAATGCTTTTCTAACCCTAAAGTTTGCCTTTCTCTTATGCTTTAGAATAATCCCCTTTTTCATCCATCTCATATACTCCATGATTCATGTTGGAATTAAAGGAATGAAATTATAGTATATTTGAATTCGATTAAGCTTAGTGTATGCTTGTAATAATGAGTTATTAATTTTCAATCTTGGTTTTTACGTTAGGATCATAAGTAGCTGCTATTCTCATCTAATGAAAATAGCTGACTTTGTTTTCTTCGAGTAAATTTATAGGTAGAGAAAGTTAGGAGTAAAGACAAAATTTTCTTACCATTTGCTTTTGTAGGGAGTAGGGACATCATTTCATCCATTATAAGATTAATTTCATCAACATTTCATTGACTTATAATGTATATGTTATTTTATGTGTTGCTATATATATATTTGAAGGGTGAATACCTTTATCTTTTAGAAAAGGAAAGTCAGAAGCGTAAGGAACATAAACACTTGGTGAAAGATTACCTACCACTTTCAAATTCTATTGCCTAACCAACCCGTGAATATTTAGCTTCTTTAGATTTAGATCTTTTTTTTTACAAAAGGATCCCTTTTAGAAGAAGAACAAAAAGGAAGACATGATTTGTAAATAATTATCTCTAATTAATTACTCATTACTGAATTAGAACACAAACCCATTGAGTCAAGTTGTAGAATAATGAGAAGAAGAACACAATTTGGTTGGTTAAGCTAAGCAAATTAAGCAATTACCATAAGATTGCTTTTAATTAACCCCATAAACCAAAAAAACAAAAAGAAAAAAAAAAGAAGAAAAAAAAAAAGAAAAAGGTTGCTTGGGATGTGGTGCAAAGGAGAAGCTTTTGATGTCAGAGGGAGGTGCTTTTGCCTTCGCTTTTTTTTTTTTTTTTTTTTTTTTTTTTTTTTTTTTTTTTTTTTTTTTTTTTTTTTTTTTTTTTTTTTTTATAGGGCTTTCTTTAGGTTAGGGTTTAGGGTTTACAGGCCAAACAAAGTCCACGACAATACGGCGCCGTATTAAAAGACTGCCTTATTTTCGTAGACTTCTACACTCATTGACTTCTTTTTCTTCTTTTTCTCAAAAGTCAATCCTCCACGCGCCGTCCTCGTCACGGCTTCGATACGGAGGCGGCATCCTTAACGGAGCCGTTCCCCATGCTCGTCGACTGCACCGTCAGCACTGACATGCTTGGCGACGTCGGCCCGTCTCCGTTCGTCCCCATCACCGGATGCTGACCACCGCCGTTCATCATCGGATTCCTAGTGTGACACGTGGATGTCGAAATCGCCGTCGCCAGAGAGATCGGCATAAGACACAACCCTTTCCCCTGCAGATACTGCATCGCCGATCCCATATCCTTCTCCATCAGCTTCGCCACCTGCTGCTCCGTCACCGTCATGCTATCATTCGACGACGCCGTTTGGTTTCCACCACCCCCGCCATTGTTCGAATTCCGACCACCTTGAGCCCCACTCCCTTGCATACACTCACCGCCCCCCTGAAACGACAGCGTTTTCACTAATTACCAAATTATTAATATTATTATTATTCTCATTTAAACAAAAACGACAACCAAACCAAAAGCTTGCTAAAAAGGCTTCGCACGCGTGCCCTTTTCCTTTTGTCGTC